ACAACACCAACAACAACACCAACAACAACACCAACGCCAACACCAACGACAACAACGCCAACACCAACAACAACGCCAATGACAACACCAACCACAATACCAATACAAACACCAACACTAACATTGACAGCCTCTGCAACAACATTGAGCCACCAGCAAATGGGCCAACTACTACACCAGTGAGGATTCATTGTAGTGATTGGTAATTCTAAAAATCAAACTGATTACTTTTGAATGGTGAAAGAGAGTTCCATTCCCAAAACTTGATAAATTATGACCTGTTAAATTTCAAAGTCAACCAACAAAGAAGACACTGAAGTGTATGCTAGTCCAGGCAAACATACATCAAACAAACTTCAACAAGAAGTTTACAACAGTGAGGAAGACAATGACTACAGTGTTGCAATTTGCAAACAAGGAGTTCATGGTGCTTTGATGGAGCTGTCACTTTAAGCACAAAGTCACACATTGTTTCTGATCCCATGGCAAGCTATCTCCTTCAAAAGTATGGGTCTTGTTTCCACTTTTCTCATGAATTTGAATTTCTTGGTCTTGATTGTTTTGAGAAAGAACCAAGTTTTGGATCCCAATACAGTTCAAAACAAACACATTCTATTTCTTAAATCTCATGTTGCAAATTATTTGTGCATGTCAGGCAAACCTGAAGATGTGGTTTCTGTTAATGATTTTTTCTCTGGCTTCACCATAATAAAAGGAATCAAATCAAAGAAGAAAAAAGAAACAATTGATTGGTGGTCAACCCCACACCCTGCAAAAAATCACTTGAAAATTTTCAAATGGGAACAGTGGTGAAAGCTTTGGATGCATCCCCATTGATGGTAATATCAGTCATCCAAAAGATACTGATCACAACTTGTTGGCAATGGAAAAATATGCTAAGACAGCATTGATTATATTTTTTCACTAAGGAATGCAAAAAAGAACTGCAGACAGATTTGAAATATTTATCAAAATTCAGGGAAAATCTAAAAAGTGGGTAATTGAAACTGAATCATCAGAAACTGTTGAAACATGCCCAAAATTGGTACAGCAGTTTTAATTCAGGGGGATCAAAAGATTCTCTAGAACAAGTTACACAAAATCCCTTAGTAAATGGTGTCAAACTAATGAAGTAAGTGGCAATCTTTGTTTGTTTGATGAACTCCAGGAAAATTTTGTTGATCATATGGATATGATATATGATCCAGGTCAGATTCAGTTCACAGACAGCAGATTCAAGAAGCTGCAAATTGGCACTTTGCTGGTTGTCACTTATCAAGGTTTGCAAGGTTCCCATAAGTGTGGAAGAGCACTGCTGAAAACACCATAGTAAGTCCCACCATATTCAAATGCAATTGCACTTCAGAACTCAGGTTCAGGTAACTTGTTTTTTTTTTACAGACAATGCACAAAATCTCAACCAAAATATAAAACCTCATGAGCTTCAAAGAAGTGGTTTGTATCAAATTCTACACAAAACCTTTGATGTTATCACCCATGAGACTGATCATGCAAAAGCTACGAAGAACGAATTTTAAAAATGATGGATTTATTATGTTCTTATGCTTTCAAGAGTTAGTAGAAGAACTTCCAATGGTGGTGGCCTGTTTGTACTAAGAACACCTCTTCTAGTAGTACTTACAAAAAACAGAAACAACAAAAATAACACCCAGCATACACAACAAAGAAATGATTTCCATTCCTATTTCAGAAGTAGCAAATAGCCACAGTGCTTTTGTTGAAATTGAAAGCCTTCTACTACATTCTTTTCAGAGCATAGTAACTTCAACCTTACTGCTAGCAATAACTTAATTTTTGCACCGTAGTAAGTTTTTTGCGTTAGCGAGCCAATCGTATTGTACGAGTGATTTTTACAAATGCATGCAAATTCATTAGAAGTATGTTGAAGGAGTCCTCGACTGAGCTCTTCCGGCCTTTCGATTACAATGATAGGAGCCGGAAGGGAGATTGTCTCACCATCATAAAAGAAAGCCCCGCCGGCGCCCGGGTCAAGGACGACGGAGAGAACGCCCCGGGGCGCCGAAGCGGCAATAAGATTTTCCAGGGGACAGCTCATGAAGAAGAAATTTAGTAATAGTTCCTCCAGTTTGGTTTCTTAGCTACTGATACCAAAGCTTTACTTAAAAGTTATATGAAAAGACTATTACATCTCCCGACATCACGACAACGTTCGTTGAGCCCTATACAGCGCTGAGCACCAATTGAGTAGAAGTGCAACGAATGAATATACAGATGTCGCTCGCAGAAATCGCAATCTATGCCGTGCCATTCGCTTCTCGATTCGGTACCGTCCTCTTTTTAAGAAATAATATATTTAATGGTTCTTCAACGATCCTTATGCAGAAGAGCAATTACACGACCACAGCAGAAAGGAATAAAACAAAAGACGACAACAAGGAAAAGAGCAAGGACGGAGCCGCAAGGCCGGCACCGCTGATCCCATCGCTCATCTCCTTGTCGGTCGCCTTGTCAGCTGCCTCGTGATCCGCCGTGGACATCTCTTCGGACGCGTGATCGGATTCACCCGATGTGCTGCCGCCCATGTCGCCCGGCACACCAGTCATGCTACAGGTTCCATTGACTAGACTAAGAGAAAATTGTTCCGGTGGTTTTTCCCATTCACCCAAGGTAAGGTCCGAGCCGATTGGAAGATACTGGAAAGACGAAGATAGGTCCTTGCGATATTCTTTCAAGTCCCCGCAGAATGCTCTTTGCGCTTCACATTCTGCGAAAGGTTGGATTTCCATCAAGATTTGAAGGAAATCAACCACCGTGCCGAAATAAGACTCCCCAGCCTGACAATCGTCATCGACATCGTTATCGCAGGTATTTTTGAAGTTGTACTTATCTATCAAGGGAGCGTACTTTGAACAATTGTCATCATCTTTGTTGACATATGCGATGACAGAACCTTCAGACTCCGACTCAACTACGAGACACTCTCCTGCAGTCTCATCCATCTGCATGCATGATGGTTTGTTTGGAAGTCTGTGCAAGGGACAAGAGAAATGTTAGTATCAAATGCATTCCATCAAACGACTTGAATTACAGGTACATCGTTCAAACTTACACAAACAAATAAGATCCGGTATCTAGCTGCACAAGTTGTTTTTGCCCTCCAAACTCAATCTCTCCCAGGTATGTACCCGCTCCTAATACGTTTGATAGGCCTCCGGGTGCTGACATCTTAACAATATTTCCCTTTTCACTGTAGTCGTTTTCATCACAATCCCCGCCTTCTTCAGACACAATACCAATTCTAGGGGCTGAAGGATCACTGTTGTCAAACACCACAGTCTTGTCCAGAAGAAAGCCAGTTCCCAATGTGATCGAAGAAGGGCCGAATAACCAAGATCCCGTATAAGCTCCACTGGAAGGGTATGTCTCGTACAAATAAAAGCTTCCATCAGATACAAGGTCGCCTCCGTCAAAACCTCGATAAATAATGTCTGGAACAAGAGAATTAAGGTGATCTGCTTCTTCCTTTGAAAGATAAATATAGTCGTCCGCCAACAATTCTAGTATGGAATCCACAGAAGAGCAGCCCAAAATCTCTGTAGCATCTTCGTCATCCGCCCATGCATTCGCAATTTCGTTTAGGATGGTAAAATTGTACTTTTGTGGAAATACAACACCGCTGGTTCCACTATCAATATAACTTGTGTTAGTAAATTCAGCGCTTGTTATTTCACCAACGGACGTTTCATTACCATCAGGACCACGCGCAAGAATGCCAACAGAACTTCCATCACTTGGCCCTTGGATGGTCCAAAATGAGCCGCTGTTGCCTCCACTAAACGTTGCTTCGAATGGAACAGCAGGGAACCACTTGGTAGATTCGGGGTACTGCCCAGGTCCGAGATATAAGTTGCCACCATTTTCTTCGAAGCACATAGTAAATTGAAAACTAGAAATGGCACCAGACTTCACTAGGGATGAAATGACGTCTGTTTCGTTGTTGTTACACGTCATAATGGAACCATCAAAGACACAGGCGGGTTGAAGGCCGATGAGTCCATCACCGAGACTAGGGCTCTGTGTCATATCAATGCTATTTGTGATCGGAGTACTTTCTATTTCCATGAGGCAAACCGGAGTCGTTCCAGTAGCACCGCCGAAGCTAAGTTGATCTTGCCCGACAAAACCAAGGTTAAACGCGGCACCATCTCCATAACTTGCAAAACAAACATGGGGATCATTTCCAGATGACCCAGACAGCAAAAGACGAGGGGATTGTTCGGCGTCAATCGAGGCCTGCACGGGGTTTTCTCCTGCACACGCTCCTAGGAAGAACAGAAGGGCGGGAACGGTGAAGTGACTGCACACAGCTTTCATGTTGGTCGATAAAAATAAGGTGCTCAAGGTTACGATACGATAGTAAATCTCTGCAATCAACGGTCTTGTCGACTTTTGCAATGTCAGCTACTGATACCAAAGTTACAGTCTTCAAAACAATGAGGACGTCAGCGTCCTTGCTAGGGAGGGTGTCGAGTGCTTTGCTGTGAATCTTTTCCCCTTTACCAGTTACTGACACCTCATTCTCGAAAATCCAGAAGCCTAACTTGAAGCAGCCTACATACCTATTCTGGTTCCAAAAGTTCGTACGGAAGCACAGTGCGGTAGGCTTCTGGGTTTTCGGGAATGAGCCAATCGTCATCACCTTTCCAACAGCAGTTGACAACTTGTACCCGCGCTCATCCAGTCTGTCCTTCATTTGCGAGAATCCAGTTGAGTTGTGTGACACGTAAAGGTTCGTTCACGTACTCGAGTACCTGGTACCGTACCTGAATAAAGTTCGAGTAGTACGTACTGTACTCGTACTTCGTTCATACCAGTTACTTCGTACTATTCGAGAATACCTCACGAAGAATAGAGATGTCACGAGTCCGGAATAGAGAATCTCAATGTAGATTCCCTACCAGGTCTACATGAGGTTCTAATCGGAACTTCGGAATTCTTGTGAACGCGCTCGGTAATCTTAATCTTATAATTTCAATTTTCATACACTTAAGAAACATACTAAGAGTACACGTAATCTCGTGCAGGGATCATTTTTGCTCCATGCGCACAGCATTTTTTTTCTCTTCGCATCCGTTCTCCAGCTCAAAATTCAAAAAAAACACATGAAAACTGCACACGCCCGAATACGCCCGAGCAGTTTTTTGCTTTCTCTTGCGACCCACTATGACTGCATAAGAACCTTCTCAATAAGCATGATAAGCATATCATAATAAAGCTCTCACTCAAAGCTTTCTATAGCCACCAAGTCGCGTATTTAAATGACTGGCAGAACCCTTTCAACCGGTAAAATGAAAATCATATGCCAAAATCAGGTCTCTTTTAAGTAGTTACACCAAGTACGTCAGACATATTGACTATATTCAATGTTTATGAATGTATAACTGTAAAATAGATCTGTTAAGTGCAAAAAGAAGCATTCTAATCGCCCAAATAATGACCTTATTTCAGTAGTAAAGGTGCAAAAGGGACATTTAATTGGGAACGGAGGAAGTACAAAGTGCAGTACAATAAAGGTCTGGTTCGACTTCCACTTGCAGCGTACGAGTACGTACCGCAAAAGACCTAATTATTACTTTTTGCTCTCTGGGCAAGACCGTGTGCAATTGTTATGAAACTCGTAGTATTGTCGTATAAATACGTGTTTACAATAAAAAGTGAGGTTATTCACTAGCTACTCGTGATTGTACTGTCTCACAACTTGAACTCCCACGCTACCATACCGGTACGACTAGGATGTAAACACCAAAATCCCAGTTTTCATACTGACTACGACATCCAAGGTGCTATGGTGCTACCGTGCTACAATGGTTATGGGCCTCCATGGTTGATAGAAAACCAACGAACGCGATTTTTGGTCGGTCAGTGATCGAAGCTGCTGAGAAAGACACTTTTCCAAGGCGCCTTCATAGACTACCTTGTGAAATTCTGCGCCCGATTCAAAACGGTAGTTCGTCAAAAGGTCACGCATTACCAAAAATTAATATCATCTGTTTAAAACTGTGCTTTTGTGCATTTCCAATGGCTTTAGCTCAAAACTTCGAGTTGCAAAAAAGAAAGAACGATTATTTCCTTTTTTCATCGTTTCAGTCGTTCCAGCATTTTCCGGTGGGATAAATGACATTGAACACCGATTGGGAAGTCAGGAATCCCAGCGCCGTTGACGAGCCAGCAATCCCGCAGCCGACAAGATCCGGCGTGCCATCAGGAATTCCGACAATGTTGATCAAAAAGTTCTGATTGGGAAGGTACGCTGCATCAGTGCCCACAAAGAATCCAGTGGCTCCTCCAATGACGCAGCTCAGTGAGGCGTCGGCCTTAGAGTTCTCATAAGTAGGTTCTTCGATGTGCGACATATACCCACTGAGGATAGTTCGGCCGGCCCGGAGACCAGCGTAAAAGGCCATTCCGCATCCTACCCAGGTACCGGCAAAGACACCTCCGAAGCTGAGGTTCGCTCCCTGCAGGGCGTCAACGAGTGGTTGCCACGCCGTACCACTGCAAAATGCGGCAGAGCCGAGCAGGACACCGGTTTGGAACTCGGACTTCATGTTGATAGAGCTGTCGACGAGTGCCTTCTTGGCGGTGTAGTACAGACAGTGGCCGCCGAGGACACCGATGGCATCCCCGGCACCAGTGGTTAGAGCAAAGTTCAGAGTATCGGGGGCAAAGCCAAATTGGTTCTCGGCAATAATGGAAGACGTTTGCCAACCGAATCCAGCGGGGAAAATCTTCGAAACCGTTACTTCCGCTGTGACAACAAATCGGTCAATAATGCCCGATGATTCAGTGGAGGAAACGGTAGGGGATGCATCTGCGACATCGGCATTGCAGGGGCGCGTCGTGTGGATCTGTCGTCGTTCATCCTTGTCGTTTCTTCGATTCGCAGGGGTGTGAGGCAAGCCAGAAAATGAACGAATGCTTTGACGGCAGATCTTGGTTGCAGCAGATCTCGAGCAGAGCTTTGTTGAGAGAAGGGGGAGCATGCGATTCGCCATGGTGGACATTTTTCTGGGAAATGGTGCCTGTGAGTAGGTGTTGTCGTGAATTTATGGCAAGTAGTAAGAATTGGCGGCAACGAAAAACTACCGTACTTTGACGGCAGAGGTTTTTCAACAACCGTTTTCCTTCCTTACGCATTCCGGCAAAACGGATGTGGTGCGTATCGAAAATAGGGCCATGTGGAATCTTTTTTCACAACGCATTGAATTAACGTAGGCAACGGTTCTCATAAAACGTAAAATTCAAAAGGATGCCTTGTCCAAACTCGAGCTTCCTAAAACCGGGGACAAGCGTGCGTGTAAGATGTTCCGAAAAACCATGAGGAAGAAGAAATTATTATGATCCTTGACAGCGTAACAACGGAAAACTCCTCTTTCCTGATCGAAAAAGAATTCTCGTCACAAAGTTACGTATGCGTCATCGGAAGAAAAACTATGTTTTTAACAGAATTCGAATGAAGACTGAATGAATCTGCGGAGTTTTTAAAAATATGTTCCACGTTGACGCATTTCAACGTCGTTCCGGTACCTAATGAGACAGAACATGATGTTAACATTTTTCAGAAAATACTTTTACAGTTATGTAGACGTTATAATATATTATGACCCCTTGGTCATAAATTTGAACACGTCGCACGACTGCGAAAAGCATTTGAAAAGGGAAAAGGGAAAAGGGCCCAGGACCGAACAGTGATTTGATCAGAAGATGATACGCTGATCTTCTGTTTTTGAGAGTACAAGTGGTCTGTGTGAGTAAGAGATGCACCCTCGTAGTCGAGAAGGCGGTCGTAATCTTTCCACCATTGTGTTCCATTGACATCGATAATTCATTTGGCACCCGCAGTGCAACAAATACAATTTTTTCCTGCATCGTCTTGAAAATAAACGAGATGAATTCAATACGACGAGCTCCATTTTTTGCGAAGGCTGCTTCAAGAGCGCTTCGTCACTCTTCGACCATGGCTCCCCGAAGCCGTCTTCAGCGCAAACGAGACACCTCGTGTTCTGCACAGGAAGAGATTTCGAAAACTCGACAGCACAGTTCTTGCGCGGAAGATCTCTTGGATGACTTGTGTCGAAAACACATGGACCTTCCGGCACAAGATTTTGCAATGGGTTGTGGTTTCCTGCATCAGGTTGCACTGGGTGTTCCAACGGAGGAAGTCGATCGATTGTTGTCGGACGTGCCCAGCCTCGTCAATTTTCGTGATTACGATCGACGCACGCCGTTGCACATTGCTTCGTCAGAGGGACATCTAGAAATTTGCAAATTGCTAGTAAAGAGAGGTGCCAAAATAAACCGATCGGATCGTTGGGGCCTGGCACCGCTCGACGACGCTCATAGACACCAACACTTAGAAGTCCTTCAGGTTAGTAAAATGTCGCGTGCTTGAATCGCAGTCTATGCTGCATTTAATCACTTTAATTTCGGTTCCTTTTGTGTCTTGAAACTCAATTCTTCCTGCTGCGTCGTTTCCGAACTGGAAAATACAGTTTCTTCAAAAAAGTGGTGGAAAATTTGGTAGCTCGTCGCTCTCGATAAATCTCATATCAGCTTGTGTGGAAGGGGATATCGACGAGGTAGGAAGCCTGTTGGAATATGGAAAAATTGATATAAACTCAGGTGATTATGACTGTCGAACACCGCTCCACATTGCTGCTTCGGAAGGACAGGCAGAGATTGTGGAGTTGCTATGCGAGAAAGATGCCGATGTAAATGCAAAGGATAGATGGGGTGCCCGGCCTCTTGACGCGGCTGTCTTTGCAAATAATGCGAAGTGCATCAGCATGATCGAAAAATATGGTGGGACAAGAGGATCATCGGCGACTTGTTCCTTCGGTCACGACGCAATTCTTGATTTGATACATACGTACGGAAAAATCAGAGATGGAGTGTTATCTATGGATTGGCACGATGTGCAGGATATGCTGACCGGGATTGGAGAAAAGCCGACCGACGAAGTCGTTCAGAAACTTTTTGAGGTCGCGGACAAAGACAAGAAAGGAATCATCACAACCGAAGAATTTCTTGCGAACCACGAGACATTTTTGAGTGGACGCCCTGCTAGAATCATCCTCGTGGTTGGTGGTCCAGGTTCCGGCAAAGGATTGTTGAGCGAACGATTGGCAAACGAATGCGGCGTCGTGCACTTGTCATCTGGTGACTTACTGCGAGATGAAATTAGCCAAGGAACTGGTAGGTAACATTGTTGGAGCAGTGACTCTGCCCATTGAAACGACCAAAAATCATGACGCCCAATTCCTTTCTCTTACCATTTTGTCAATGTTGTAGAATTAGGGAAGCATGTGGAAAAAATTGTCCAGAAAGGAGAACTAGTAAGTTCTGCTATTATGGTAACACTGATGCAAAAGCGAATGAAAGACCACCCTGGCAAGAGAATCCTATTGGACGGTTTTCCTCGATCGCAAGAAAATGCGAAAGACCTCGTAACACTATGTGGCAAGCCAGAGCTCGCGCTGCATTTGACATGCGACGATACGGTTCTGTTGGAACGGATCATGAAGAGAGGCGAATCTGGTGACCGATCGGACGACAATTTCCAAACCGCGATCCAGCGCATTAGAACCTATCACAAATACCACAACTTGACGATCGATTTTTTGAGGGAAGAGAATGTCCCTATTGTTTTTCTTGATTGTTCTAAAAGTCCGGGTGTTGTGTGGGACCAGTTGCGATCGATTGGACGGCTAATGCGGTCTTCGGTTCGCTTTTAGAAGAAGGTAAATTGAGTTAGGTACTACGTTTTGTTAGTCCTTTGCTCCCATTATCTGACGGCGCGATGAAACAACAAGAAGTTTCGTCCAGCACTCAACAAGTCGTTCGTTAGTTGTACCGACTAGTTTCAGATATTTATCCGCCTTCCATATTCATCACCATCTCAGAACAAAAGATTTAATTGCTTTTCACTTTTTTAGGTATGAAATCATTTTCCGCATAGTTGCATATCGCTAGAATTATCTTTTGAAATGTGATGTCCATAGTAATAGTAACCATGTACTGTAATATTTTTTCATTATTCGACTTCATGGATTGATCTTGAGATTTCGACAGGTGCCTAAACGGCCCAAACATAGGTTTAGTATCTATGATCGATATCACCACAAAGGTCCGCAAGACGCAAAACGCAAGCACAATGTCCACGACTGACACAAACACGATTGATTTTTCAGGAATCAAACTACGAGTACCGTACTGTACCGTACGTACGTACTGTTGATTGTTTAACTTACGAGCACTTCAAGGATTGATGGTTTTGAGAGATGCAATATGAAAATAGGAGATAAGTTATTGAAGCGTGAAGTGTTCGTATCACTACTCATAGCCCATGATTTGTTTCCTCCACCAGAAGAGTAGATGCCTTTCTCCCAATAGAACAAAAGGTTCAACTATAGGGCCTTGCATCATTATTAGGACGGCTCGAATCCAGAAATGACCCGGAAAGCATTCTTTTTATGTTCCCCAAAAGCGAAAGTTAGAGTATCGACACGAGAGGTTTAGCGTCCAACATTCGCTTGATCCTCCAGGTGACTCCGAACAGCTCTTGAATAGATTTCTGGCACATTGATCCAATTCAATGGCAAAAAATATGGCGTCTTCGGTGGCAGCAAAGATGATGCAAGTTTTCGCTAGATCGAAGACAGCCCCGATGCCAATCATGAAGAGAGCACGCAACCGCCTCATTAGTCCCTCCTCTATCACGATCCGACAAGCATCGGTTTTCTCACACTTTATCACTGAAAACACCAATACTCTTACAGCTAAACAATCAAGTGTAAACGCTGCAAATAAAGATTGGCACAGCCCATTTTTTATGTCCGACACTACAATTGCGGAAAAAGAAGCATGGTTGGAAGATCTGCTGACGGAAACGAATAATAGCAGTAATACGAACATAATAAGTACTACGGAGCACCATCAGCGAAATAGAGAAAGTGAATCGTCCATTGACGTCGAGGCTTTCCTCGTCGTCTTGAAGGCACTTGCATCACCAGATGCTGTTGAGGATGCAGGAGCCCCCCGCAGAGCAGATGTGTGGATGAATCGCCTCTTAAAGTTGAATCATTATAATATTCGGCCTACATCAGAATGCTATCAATATGCCATTCAAGCTTGGGCAAATTCAACTAAAGAGCAATCGATGGTCATAAGAAATCGTTCTCAACGATGGTTCAATGAGATAGTTGGCAAAAGCGGGGACGACTTATTATCATCCATTATACAGCCAACGTATGGAAATGCTCGAACTGGGCAAGATTCCTTCAACGTCGAACCAACGATTGAATGCTTTAACGCGTTTCTCGACGGTCTTTCACGAGGGCGCCAGGGGAAGAGCAAACGTGACCGTCAAATATTGCTAGAGAATGCTAAAATGGGTGAGGTTATTCTCAGGCGTCTCCATTCTCTCTATACTCACCGATCCAAGCGAGAAAATAATTCCAAGAATGAGATGTCGCACAAGAATCGCGACATTAAGCGTCAGACTGAAACTTCTATTGCAATTCGGCCTAATACAGAAACCTTCAATTTTGTCATTCGAGGGTGGACAAGATGCAAGCATGAGCCGTTCATACATGAAAGGGTTCTCGCAATTCTTAGACTTATGGAAAGCTATCAACGAGGAAATCCGGCCGCTTTTATTGTTGATCGTGACGCACCACGACCTAATACTAAGAGCTACTGCATGGCTATGGATGCACTGATTTCAGAAGCAAAACGAAAAGCTCGCAACTATAACATGCAAAGGAGGAGGAAAAACCATGTTGAGTTTGGTGATAAATACGAGGAAACAGAAAATACACATTTGAACGGAATTGATGAAATCAACGAGGCTGCATCTATTCTGAAATATTTGCACGACCTCTATGATGCAGGCGTAGAAGGAGTAGTACCGCACCGCGTCCCATACAATATATTGATCAGCGGATGGGCCGCGATAGCTTCATTCTCTCAACACAAACATTACTACMAAACACAAAATAGCAATCAAGGTGAAGAGTTCAAGGCAGAAGAAATTTTGCGGACAATGATATCGCACAGAGAAAATGGATTCATTGAAGCATCCCCAGACGTCATATCCTACGAAAGAGTGATGTTGGCATGGGCGAATTCCGGTCACCCGAATGCTGGAAAGCGAGCGCTTTGGTGGCTTAAACAACTTTGGAAGGACTACGATCTCTATCCTGATTCTACATCCGAATCATCTCATAAAAGTAGTCTTCTACCGACAGTCAGAACTTACAACGTTGTCATGAAAGCATTAGCATCGTCAGATGGTGCTTTAGCCGCTGAAAATATGCTGCTCGACTTGGGCGAGAAATATCGAGGCAGCACCGACCATCCTGGGCTATGCCCCAATAGTGAATCATTTTCAATTGTCATCAGAGCTTGGTTGGAATCAGCCAAACAAACACGAAATGTTGATGAGCGTATTTCATCGCTTCGGCGTGCCTACGAGTGGTTGTCTAGTTTGCGAGGAATAGAAAACGAAAACAATTTATCGACTTCCCCCGAACTATTTATTGGACTACTTACAATGTCAAAGAGCTGCGCAAAACAGAGACCCCATGTTTTGGACCTTGCAATGCAGATCTTTGAAGATTATCGACAATCCAGGCATCGGTTGGATTGTATTTCATATGCGACACTTCTGCAAGTTGGTCTACGGGCTCATTCTCGACGAAGCGGTGAAATTCGGGAGGCGTTTGTTGAAAAGTTGTTCGCAGAATGCTGTGATGATGGTTTGGTTAGTAATGTTTTCATCAGAACCCTTGTCGACGACCCCTCGAATGAGTGCAAAAACTTGGTGAATCGTGTCTCGCAAGATTGGCCTCTCCCGTCGTCCTGGAGTAGAAATCTCAAAAACAACAACAATCGCTGCACTCTTATTGATACAAAGAGTTCATCCGAGAGGCGTGTACTGCGAAGGCGAAGAAATACAAATTAGAGGTTTTGCTGGAAACGCCTAGCGCAAAATATACTCCTGATGGAAGGGCAAATATTTGCGAACTATGCGCACTATCTTTTCCTCGAGCTAAATTACCAGTTATGTACAACCTTGCAATATTTCAGTTTAATGTGGGGGTAAATTTTGAATATTGTATACTATTTGCAGTAACCCAGGATGTAACTTAGCTACCTGAGTAATTCCTGTCACAAGGCGCCCGTTCCCTCCCTTCGATTTTCTCTCCTTAAATACTTCGATGTTGCGCTACGACTTGTGAGACAATAGACGCATGCTCTTTAGAATCATGCGTTGTCCATGCGCCCCTATACAACTTCTTCTTATCATTGTTTTCTGACGTTGGTTCTGGTGCTGTATCGACGTGCAGGCCGTGCAGTTGCTCTATAATGGTCATCGCGATAGAAATGATGGCATCATCGGGCAAATTCATTTCTTTTACCATATCTTCAGCAAAGTCAAATGGAGATAAAGGTCCATGTTTGTCCCATAGGATGTTTTCGTGAATATTTATTCGGTCGAACAGTAGTCGGATGGATATCGGTATAAGTGTTTCGCCATTTTTTCCAAGTAAGGTTTGGTCTTCGTTGCTCATTTCGACTATTCTCCATAATTGAGGCCTAAGCTGATCTTCGATCGTCTTTTGCAGTTTATTACTCCATAAGTCTAACCTTCCTGTAAAGTGTCGAACGGTCCGACCCATAGGCTTTTTTGTTAACATACGATAGACATATTATGAGGACGCACGTATGTGAATAAGGATTCGCCCCGTTTGAAACCGCAAAAACTTACTTGAACTTCTGCATCAGAAAGAATGGTGTGAGCAATGAGGCTGACGTTTTCTTCCACAGAAGCATAAAGTGGTTCATATAGAGTCACCGGCCAACAGGAAGGATCAAAAAGCAGCGTGTCCACGATTCTTATGCTTTTGTCGTCTGATAATGCGTCCACGCGAATCGGTATCAAGTTGCAACCAGCGAAGTTGTGACTATAAAGTTGAGACATCGTCACTGTTCTGCGTGTCGTTATACAGAGCTGTTGAGTGTTGTGTCTATAAATCGATGCGCCTATTTCGTGATCGGAAGTTCATTTTGTGGTGGGTACGTAACGGTACCGCAGGTGTGATTGTTCTTCCTTGGATCATCGCTGCTGAATTGCCTGTCTCAAATAGAAAAACAACTTTTTCAGTAATTGAAATTGTTGGAATTGGAAATTGGGACCAAATCCCGCATAGTATGTATTGTAGATACTATTTTTGGATATGTACTATACGGTACGGCCACTCAGGAGAAATACAGTGCAACAATCGGCCGTGCTGTACGGTATCGTGATGGGCTGAGGTTAATATGACTCAGACAGTCCCGGGCGTCAGTTTTCATGAACACTGTGATGATACAGTATTTACTGTACACAGGAGGACTCCTAATGTCAAGCGCAATAAAGTCAAGTACTTGGCAATTCCCCGGAGAGCCACCGAAACGAGCAATTTTGAATAATTTTCGCGCGAATCGCGCAATTTTAACGCCTAACAGACAATTTAACCGTCATTCTTCCCATTCAATGGTTCTCCGAACCTGAGCTTTAAAAATTTTTATTTAATGGGGGTTCCCCAAAGAACAAATTTTTATTATCGGCGAATTAAGTTTTATTAACAAAATAATAAAATTTTATTAAGTACTTTAATTATTTTTTAATTAACTTTAATTAAAATTTTATTAAA